CATAACTTTTTGAGGAAAACCATTTTGCAGTTTTAATTTCCATTTTCATAAGCAGCATTCAAAACCCTATCGATTTATCTGGGTCTCCATTCAAAGTCCCACGGTAATTAGACTACCCCTCCCTGGTGAGTTCCTTTTTCATCTTCAGCCGCCTTAGTGAGTAGACCAGATATTAGGCGGTTATTATCGATGATTAGGCGTGGAAAACACTGTTGACAAATCTTGTGCTAGCTGTTTTTGTACAGAAGTCTTGTGCCGCTGATTTATGTTGCACGACGAGCAGGTGCAGATGAAAAATATCGTCACTATCAATTAATAGGGAATTTTCAGGAAAATGTACAAAATCTAAATTTTGATGCTTTTCACATCGAATCATCACAGCTTCACTGATGCGATTAAGATAAGCGACGGTAATTGTTTAGACAATGAAGAACTGGTGGTCCACTGACCATTAGTCCATCATTGCATTGGGAATGGAACCCAAACACATCAAATGTCTCTTAAAAAAAGGTGTTGCATATCAGGGTCAGCTTCTGAACTCAGGTGAATAAGCCTCCATCTTCAGACGTAGGTGGACAGCGCAGAAAGCTTCCGCTAAGGCGTGCACCATCAAGATTTCAGGATAATTAAGATCTATGGTCGAAATTTTCCAGAAGAACTTTCCTCAAATCGCATAGATGCCAGTTTCGTGAAATTTTGGCTGATAGGTGACATTCTAGTGTGCTAGATTAAACCTTTTGTGTTATATATATATATATTTAGTAAACAGAATAAATTTCTTGCAGCATTACATTACAGAAATATGCAGGGCACTACGTTTACGGATATGCGAGCCATACACCATTCCAAGATTGTGTTTTGTGCTGTCTCATGCAACTGATTAAATGTTAATTTGCTCACCACCTCTCCGGATGGTTTATTTAGGTATAAAAATTTGCAGACAATTTATTGTCTTTTATAGAGACAGACAGCAAATACGTAGTCATCATTTGTGCTCCTTGTGCTCATATAGCCGTTACATCCGTACAGCGTGCCCGAGGGGAGGCTTTCGAGCTGAACAGTTCGAGTATCAGCTGCTCATCCCATGAAGTTAGAAACAATCTCAAGTGGTTGCACTCGTTTTACATTCACTTTAGACACAACTCTCGAAGCAAGCGCTAGAATATAGGTCAATATGTCTAAGATACTTCAGAGTGTGCTATCATACAGCTCTCCAGCTTTTTGTAATGGTATCTGTAAGACAGGTGCACCAACCTTCCGTTCCTTCTCGATTAAAGTGGGGATCTGAAAGAAATTAGTGCTGTCAACTTACCCCTGCTCCGTTTTCGTCAAAATGTACTTCTAATACTTCGAGTATTTTTTGCCACACGGCCTTGTTATTCGCATCCGCGATTAAACTAAAAAGTTTAAAATTGGATCAAAGTAAGAAGTTTCATTCGAGCAAATACTAACCCTTTTCCTTTAACAATCATATCAGCTTTGATGCTAGCCCGGTGTTGTGGCGACTTCAGCCAATCCAATGCTTTTTCCGCTAAATCGTCACTCCAAACCTATCGATGGCATACTATTAGTCATCCGTATAGCTTTCATATGAACCTGCTCAGGGAACTAACCAGGCCATCGGTGTACATACTGTTGAGCGTCTCGAAAGTTTCTTTCTCGTCTAGTGGGGTTTCCGAACCTAAAGAAAGCTGTTGGGTCAAATCAGGACCGTCTGTGAGGTTAATTCGATCTATGGTGCTCACCTTCGACGGAGGAAACCGTCACGAGGAGCGCCACTGTTGTAAACGGCAACAACATTCGGATGTTATAATTTTTCCCAAAAATTCCCTATTTATAGATAGTGGTGATGTTTCATCTTCACCTGATTGCACGTGCAACATGATTCATTGGCGCGACTTTTATGCAGAAAAACAGTATGCAAAAGGTCTGTCAACAGTGTTGTCCCATGCCTAATCATCGATACATCTGAGCTTCTAACTTCGGTCTAACTTCAGCTAAAGATGAAGGAACAGGGTTTCTCCAGCTGAAAACTGAACTGAGAAATATTTTGTGCTTCTCAGCGACGTTAGTATCTCGTCAGTGGAGGGGTCGAATTGCAATACTCAAGTTTCACTGGTTGCATTAAATTTCATTTCAACATTTTTAGAAGAAGTAGATTTCTGCCTTAACTTTTGCGAGTAAGTTTAGAATCAGAGTAGTATTTATAGCTAAGGTTCCAAAAATCAGCAGTGAATCGACAGTTGAGGGGCTGCGCACTTTTTCCACATCGACTGAGTTCGAGTTGAGTGCGCTCTCCCAAAGATGATAGATAACTGCCTAAATTTTCACTTTCTTTTTTGAGAGCGGCAGGCACAGAATTCAACAGGGTTAAGGGAGGCAGATGAATGTTGGTACTAAATTGCGGTACAGTGGTCGATATATCAAGGACATGAGTGATGCTCTGAGTTCACACTTGTTTTTTGCAGAAACCGACACACAAGTTTCTATTCATTTGACACTTGAAGATGATGGAATGGAATTTAATGCAGCTGGCACGTTTGGAGGTTGCAACCCTCCCATTGAGGAGATATTGTAAGTGCAAAACACTTCCACTTAACTTTTCATTAAAGCTAGCGGGCTTCTCACGAGTTTGTCTTCTTCTAGTAACTGAAGAAGTCTACCTAGGAACATAGTTCCTTCTAAATCTTATGCCGCAGAAGGTAGCAGCAAAAATATGTCCTTGATTAGCAGTATGACAACACTGTTAAAAAATCTTTTGCAACCTCTTTTCGTGCAGATATGCTATATCAATAAATTATGTTTGTACATACAAGCAGGTGCAAATGAAATACATTAATACTATCTATAAATAGGGAATTTCCATGAAAATACATCACATCGCAATGTTGTTGCCGATTACAATAGTGGCTCTCCTTGTGCTGATCTCCTCCATAAATGGTGAGTACTATAAATGAAAACTAACCTCACAAACCCCAACCTAACCAGTGTGTGCTTCGTATAAGTCGTGGAGCTCATCATTTTACCCGACAGCTTTCTCTTCAGGCTCAGAAACTCCACTGGACGAGAAAGAAACTTTCAAGACGCTCAACAGTATGTACACCAATGACCTGGTTAGTTCCCTGAACAGGTTCATATGAAGGCTACAAATGATCAATAGAATACAAATGATAGGTTTGGAGTGACGAATTAGCGGACAAAGCATTGGATTGGCTAAATTCACCAGAAGACCGGAATAGTATAAAAGCTGATATGATCGTTGGAGGGAGAGGGTTCGTATCCACTCAATAGAACTTCTCACTTTGTTCCAGTTTTTCAAGTTTTTCAGTTTGATAACGGATGCGAATGACAAGGCCGTGTGGCAAAAAATACTCGACGTCTTAGAAATACATTTTGATGAAAAAGAAGCAGAGGTGAGTTGTCGGCACTGAGGTCATTTATTTGCCGGAGGAACTCCGACTTTCCATCGTGACCGAAGAGACAAAGGTTGGTGCACCGCTCCTACAGGGTGCATCAACATTTGGCAGGTAGTTACAAAAAGAGCGGAAAGACATAATAACGCGCGCAGAAATAAATTCAAGTCCTGACCTTATATACTAGCAAAGGCTTTCGCATTGAGAGTTGTGTCTGAAGCTAACGTAAAACAAATGTAACCTTTGAAGGTTGTTTGAACCTGTGAATGTGTTGCTCTTAAACTCGAACTCATTCAGCTCGACAGCCTCCCTCCAGGCACGGTTTACGGATGCAACGGCTATATGAGTACAAGGAGCACAAAGGATGATTACGTGTCTGCCATCTGTCTCTATGAGAAACAGTAAATTCTCTGTAGATTTCAATGCCTCAATGAAACACACAGTGAAGTGGGGGAGGGGCAAAATGACATTTACGTGAAATCAAGCGCGTGAGACAACTCCAAATTGTATTCAACACAGGATTGATTGATAACAGATCTCTTCGAGCAATGTAATTTGTGGAAAGTCATGAGTTCCTAGATCGGTTCTGTAAGTTCTAATTTCTGAGAGCAACAGTAATATTGTTTGGAAACATGTGAATGTGGCCCACACAATATGCGAAGACCAGTCAATACCGTAGTCACAGAAGGTTCGTTTTCTGAGGCGAGGATCCTACCACTCAGCAGACTTTGATTTGTTCTGATGAAAGTTCACCAGGCAACAATTGGTCGAGGGTTAATTCTTTTCCATGCACTCGGTAGCGTGTTCACCTCCGCCTTGAAGCAGTGAGCTTAAGAAAACCAAAACAAGTACTGGATATATGCCCCTTTACCCCTGAGCTGTTCGAAATGTTTCGACTGAAGGCAGTAATCGCACCACTGTCAGGTTGGACTGTTTACTAACTTGCACCATCGTTCTTAATGATTGCCTCAATAGCTCCCTACCTATCTTAATGCCACAGCCATTCCCCAAACGTGTATGCAATTAGTGTACAGGTGAACGCTGGTCGAATTGATCACCCTAGCTCAGGAAAATCACAAAAAAATTTGCCATCATTCCTACCTATAATTTCCTTCCTAATGCATATTTCCAAGCAGTAAACAATAATGAAGCGTGGTTCATGAAAATGAGCCACATGACATGTTAAATGGTGATTGAACAAAATAGCTCCCACCTCATCTACTCCTCTCCCTATGACACCTCTTTCGTCATGCTCTCCTTCCTTCCAGCTTTATCAGACCGTGTGAGATTAGTGAACAATAAGCTGATTCGGTGAAATTGTAATTGGGGGCCACCCATCCAAAGGTTAGCATATCATGAAATGAACTTAGTCTAACGTGTTAATCCCTGTC